CTGAGCAAAATGACATTATTTTAATGAATTAAAAAAATAATTTTTTATTCATTTTATGAATGTAATAGTTAAAAGTTAATGATATTTGTTGAATTGTAACTAAATTGTCCACAAATATGTTTTATATATGATTAAATACATTGGATATTAATTGTTTTCACATTTTTTTAAACCGGCATGAACCGGCACAAACTGGTTATACCACCGGTCGTACCATTCCACTTGTCAAACCGGCACAACAGTATAAACCGGTTTGACAACCTTGATTTCAACACAACATTAACAATAACAACAACAAAACACATTTAATGAATGGTAACCTATGTTAGAAGATTTCTCCATGATTTTCCTATTTGAGCTCCAGTGAGAGAGATGACTAAAGATGTAAAATCAAATAAGCAAATACGAACAAATAGATCAATTTCAGCACCTCAACAAACCAAAATAATATTAGGGGATACGAACAAGGGTTTCCATGACAGTAACAGATCTCAGGATCTGACTTTCCTTGCCACTGATGTAGGGGAAAAGAGAGATGAAAATGGTTGTGGTAGCTTCATCTTCCTCCCAAATTGAGACTCTTTATTTGGCAATGCGTTAGGAATTCCCTTGTAACAAAAAGGAGGCTCTTCAACAGATATTGCTCCCCCAACCCCAACTTGGATTCATTTCTTCCCGTCACTAGGAGCACCCCCACAAGCTTCGTCTTTCATCCACTGAATTTTTCAATTGAAGGACTCCATCCCCACTCATTCCATTCACCAGGTTATCTTCCTCCTTTTGACATTTGGAAGACTAGGAATGAGAAAGTGTTTCGAGTAACTATCCTTTGCCCCTCTCTAACTTGTACGAATGCATCCAAGGAGATGTTATAATGGCCCTCGTGCCCCATCCCCGGTATACACCTCCTCAACTTCGCACCCTGCTTAACCTACCCCAGAATCATACTGTTCCACCACCGAGCAATCTCGTTATCGATATTCACTATGATGGATCGTTCTTAAACGTTCACAGAAGGCTGCTTATGGCGTTCTTGTTCTTGACGATCATGGACAACTCTACGATGGAAAAGCTAGTACTTTGCTTTGCACATCCCTGTTTGAAGTGGAAGCTATAACGTTACTTGAAGCTTTGAAACTTTCACAACATTTGGATCTTCCTTCCATTATCCGCTCAGACTGTCAAGTCCTTGCCAATGGACTTTCATCTCCAGCTTCTTCTTGACCTTGGTAGGCTATGTGGGGAATATGATTTCTATTTTGAATTTGAATCCACATATCAAAGTCCCTTTCTTTAGTAGGAAGTTGAATTCAAGAGCTAACTGGGTTGCCCATTCTCGTGCACACAACCACCTCCCTGTTGATTGGATTGTTGTTCTTCAAATTATTTCGAGCTTCTTTGTGTAATGTTGTACCATCACCTCTTTCGGATATGCAATATAAGTAGGGGTGAACAAACACACCCGCAAACCGATCCACCCGTCCAACCCGACCCAATCCACCCGTATCTATCGCTAAAACGAAGGTTTTGGGTTGGGTGAGGATTTTCTTTTGTACAACCCGCCTCTTTTGGGTTGGGTTTGGATTTTGGATTACACAACCCGTAGAACCCGACCCAACCCGTGTTCCAACTATTAGTATGAGTTCGGATCTAAAAAATATTTATGTCGTATATAGTTATATACTTATGAGAAAATTAAGATATTTCGCCATTTTTTCTCTCATGGTCTCCCTAATCTAATGCATTCTTCGACTTAAAGTTTAGACATAAGTTGAATTTAGTTATGATTCACGTAATCCTTTTTCTTGTGTACAATTTTAATAGAATAATATATGATTGATGCGTTTGTTTATAACATTTTTAGCCTATTTCAACAAATACCGTGAAAAAAACAAGACACATGTTGAAGTAAATTACATGTTATTAAAATTTAAACAACATTTGTGAATTTTCATACCTTTCACCTTGGTTCATTCGTTTGAAATTTTAATTAGTTATAAAATATTTTTATGATGTAGAATAATTATATATTTTATGTTGGGTTGGGTTTTTACTTAAAAATATCGCCAACCCGATCCAACCCAATTAGATACAAACCGTAGAGTTTTAATTTTTTTGGGTGGATTTGGGTTTGATATTTCCCAAACCGTAGTGCATGGGTCGAGTGATTAAAATGACTAAACCCGAACCATGTACACCCCCTAAATATAAGCTACTTAAAATTAGAAAGAAAAAAAATATATAGTTGATAACCACCTGAGACAATTTAGTTGAATTGAAGTAAAACGAATTACAGTGAATAACTAATGAGAAACTTGTTTTTTTTGTTGTCAGAAAATGTGTATTTTACCAGCAATGTACAAGAGAATCTTTCATACATTTTAGATCCTCTGTAATCAACAAAATGGCAAAGCTATCCATTTTCCATTTCTCACCTACCCCTAAAAACTCTACCGACGTTGCGTTTTATCCACCGACGATCTTCAGCCCCCACGACACATCCTCACACCGAGCCACAGGCCCAACAGTCCCCGGCTGATCAGGATAAGCAAACCACGGCGGGAAATGGAAACACGGCTCGATATTGACTGCCCGTTCACAGGACGGTTCATCAGCCCCGCGGGGATGGTACGGATCAGGAATCATCACAATCCATGGCCTCACCCCTGCAATCCCTGCAGCCACATACCCAAATGTCGACATGCTACTCGTCACCAACACATCGCTCATACTCAACAGATATATATCCATCCACGCCTTCATGTTGTGCGAGTTATCCCCAAAATGCTGCTTCCCCTCGTGGCTCGCCTGGTAAACTGCAATCCCGCCGTGACTTCGTTCACCGTACATCGAATCGATCTCCTCGTAGTACTTGCGCGACAACGATGCAACAAAGATAGACTTCGATGTCCCGTTTCGGAGGGGCACCTCGCTGGATTGCGGCAGGATTCTGTGTTTCTGAGTGCAGGACATGATCTGTTTCATCACGGCCGGAAATGTGGTCTTCTTAGGCTCGAAGACTCGAATCTGGAACCCAATTCGCTCCTCTGCTTTGGCTAAGTAAGCTTTGTAGAATCCGGTGATGTGCTCCCAAGCTTCGTTGGAAGGGCTCAGTAGGTATTTCGCCAAGTGGTGGAAAACGGTTTCTTGATCGGGAAACAATTTCTCCAATTCGGACCTAAAAGACTGCATCTGGAAAAGGCAGGGGATGAGATACCCATCATGTACTAGAGCCAGCCATGGAACGCGGTGGACAAACCCTTGATTCTCGTCTCTGAAGAACAGCTTGTCGTAATCGTTGTACTTATCTTGGAGGAAGATCTGCAAGAGGGCCGGAGCCGAAGAATCGAGGAGGCTAAATTTCCCCTCTTTCTTCTGCTGATCTTCCTCCTCCTTCTGCAGCAAAGTTCCAAAGCTGTACGCTTTTCTGAATCTGTGCGATTGTAACTGAAATCTGAAAGGAAAAGTTTCGGGCAGGTACCAGGTGGAGTTCGGAAATGGCTCGCAGAAGAGATCTTCCATGTCGGGTCCGAATTCGACGAGGAGGACCCGATTCGTGAGCAGGGCGTAGAGGAAAGTGGAGGAAAGCCCGAGGATTCGGTTCCCCAGCCCCTGGGAAGGCGCGTACACGACGAATTTGCAGTCGTCGGTGCGAAACTCTTGAGGGTTTAGTGTCGGGTCAGACAAGGGGCCGCAGCGGCGGTGGAGATCCTCGTAGTCGCGGAGCTTGGCGAGGAGGTAAGGAGACGGTTGAGGGGATGGGGTTCTGTGGTATTTAGTAGCGGAGTAGCTGTGGTGGTCGCGGCGGCTGTCGCAGGTTGGATCGTAGATTCTGGGCCGCCGGGAAGATAAGGCTATTCTCAAAGGAAGGTAGAAAAATGGGCTTTCCGGGGAAAGGAGGGCGGCAGCAAGGAGAAGGGAAACGACGGCGAAAGCGGCCACTAGTATGAGTCTGAACTTGCCGGAAGAAGATGAATTGAGGAATTCCGTTAATCTCCTCCCCATCTTGACCCTAACGGTTGCTCTTCTCATTTCGTTGGCTCCTCTTCCCATCTTCGCTTTGATACTGCGAGGACGGAGATGGGTTAGGTGGAGAAATCGAAGAGTATAAAAAAAAGGAGGCTGCAGTTTGTCTGGATTCAAGTTTCGAGATGGGCCACTGTGCAAGCAGACCAACTAGGCGATGCAGTAATGGAGTTGAATGACTGGTAATTTTGCAGGCTGCTTTTTTCTTGGGAGGATGGCGGAAAAAGAAACAAAAATTATAGGGTTAATATTTTCGTATGGCCTGAACTTTGATCAAAATAAATAGGCAAAATACACTTGTATAGCCATAACTTTCACGTTTTTTACAAATATAGCCATTTCTATTCGAAAACCACAAATAGCCAAGAAATTGGATGGTCATGTGACAAATCTAGCCATTTTCGTTAGAAACTTTAACGGTGTTAGAAACTCTGTTAGTTAAATTAACGTTAGGCTGACTAGGATGCCAAATCATCGCACACGTCAGCGACAACTCAACCACACTTGCCACGTAAGTGCCATGTCATATTTTAATTCAAAAATAAATTAGTTAATCAATTAATAACTAATTTAAAAACATAAAAATATTTATTAATTTTTTCCTTTTCAATATCCAGTCTCCTCTCCCTCTCTCCTCTCCTTCGTCTTCCCCATCTGTTCTTCAATATCCACCACCGCCGCATCAATCGTCATTCCCAACCAGCGACCATTGCTCCCAACCAACGACCCGACCCCCTCCGTCTTCGAACAAATCCCCTTCCCTGCAACAAAAATCTCAAACTAAAAAATGGCGCTCTCTGCTTCCGCCGCCATCGCAAGACCCTAATCCCTCTTCCGCGCTCAAGCCCTTCCCTCCATTTCAAAACCCACTTGCTCGTTTTCTTGCTTCTCCTCTTCGCAACCTCAATTCGACAGAAATGCCAATAGCAACCCCTCTTTGAACTCTGTTCCCAAGCGGAAGAATCGCATAGTTGATGTGGGCATCGAGCTGCTGTCGGCTTCGATTCTCGCTCTTTCTCCGATGGACGCCGACGCCACCAGGATCGAATACTACGCCACGGTGGGAGAGCCTATGTCTCCGATTCAGATCTGCCTCACCGATCCTACCGCACAGCCAGGCCCTGCAGCTCTTTCGCCGCAGTTCTCTCCGCCTTCAGCTCCTCGTACTGGCTCGCCTTCTTATCCTCATCCTACTCTCCCCGGACAAAGCAACGACGACCAGTCTGAAATCCCAATTCGCCATCTCCCCGCAGCGACGTTTCCAATCCGAACCGTGCCCAACAGATCGCCAATAGCCAGAGTCGGGCTTGATTTGGGAATTTGGGGATTTTCCTTATCGGTCAGTTGGGACTACGCGTGGAGGGACTTGGGCTCATGGAGTTGCTCAGAAACTAGATCTGGAAACCAGATCGTTGGATTCACTCACCTGCAGATGTTGAATTTCATGGCGGCAATCACTGCGATTTCGGCGCAGTTCCAGATCGGGTTCTTCTTCCTGGTTTGAAGAAATCCCTTTCGTTTCTCACCACCGAACCCATCCTCCATCGATGAACTGATTGGGCGAATCTCGAGGAAGCAATATCAGCTGCAAGAGGGAGCAGTGGGGATGGAGGATTTGGAGTCGGAGAGCGGTTGTTCACGACTGCGGGCGGGCGGTGGTTTGATGGCGTCGCTGGTGGGAATCGTAGGGGAAAGGAGGGATGAAGATGATGTTGACGGCGGCCAACAATGGTGGGGGAGGTACAGGGAGGAAGATGAAGTTTTTTGTATAAAAAAATTTTATTTTTATTTTTCATTTTATGAACTCGGAAAAATTGATTTTATGTCCTTTTTTTATAATCCACGTGTCCGACAAAGTATCGCCAGGTAAGCATTTCCGTCAGTCTAGTCAGAGTGTTAAGTAACACCGTTAAAGAGATGGACGGAATTGGCTATTTGTGGTTTTCGAATAGAAATGACTATATTTGTCAAAAACGTGAAAGTTATGGCTATACAAGTGTATTTTGCCAAATAAATATCCTGGCCAATCTTTTCGATCTATAACATTCTGGTCCGAACTATACACCAAAATAAACAATTTGGCCAGATCCGACTTTTAACCGTTAACTTGGACGGTCAAACGCGTTGACCGTTAGTCAACGCGCCATGTCACTGCCAAGTCAGCATAAAATATTTAAAATAATTCACAATTTCCACACATTCCCTAATTTTAAATTATTATAAATTAAAAAAAAATCATCTGATACTTAGTTAAACCAAAAATAAAAAACGAAAAAATTAAATATTTATCAGATCTTAAGACTTGGCAGTGATGTGGCGCGTTGACCGTTAGTCAACGTGTTTGACCGTCCAAGTTAACGGTCAAACATCGTGTTTGGCCAAATTGTTTATTTTGGTGTATAGTTCGGGCCAGGATGTTATAGATCAAAAAGATTGGCCAAGATGTTTATTTTGGTCAAAGTTCAGGCCATACGAAAATATTAACCCAAAATTATAAGTTTTTTTTTTGTTTTGGACTCGCTGTCGCTGTAAACGGGAAGTGGAAATATCAAAATTAATAAGTAATAACAAGTTTTGGCTATGGGAAGCAAATGGCTAACTTTACATTTTCAAATTTGGTCTCCCTTCTCTCTAAAAAGTCTCATTTTTTCAGTCGTTCATGGTTGTTGCCGACTCCTTTAGGTGCCAGGCGGCAGCCCAAATCTCTCTTTTTTTCCGCTTTCTTGCTTGTCTTATTTTCGATCTTCATGCCTTTGTTTCTAGGCGTTTCACCTTTAAGTTTTAAGTCTCTCCAGCTTTTTTGGCATTCCAAATTTAGGATTTTGCATGTTCAAGGCTTGCTCGTTTGAGGATCTGGAGGTTGCAGCTTGGGAAGCTTGATCTTTGCTTTGTGATGGTTGTTCTTTCCAGGTTGGTGGTCTCATCTTCAAGGTGAAGCCATTCTCATCTTCCCCCCTCTGGCTTCCCCAAGGTGATGTTGTTTCTTGGATGGTTGTCGGATCGTGGAGAGGTGAGTCATCTCCGGTTGCTATGGTGGAAGTCGGTTCTTTTATGGCGGTGTGTGGATCTCCTTGGAAGCTTGCTCCCCTTTGAACTGATCCTCTCTACCTTGGCCCCCTCTGCCTTCACAGCTTGGAGCAATCTGTTTCACAACCTCTTCCACTGTCATGCAATCTCTTTTGAGATTCACTGTGATGGATGACTTTGAGCACTCCCCAGGAGACGGCGTATGGCTTGCTGAGTTCAATGCCACGGATCTCGCTGTGATCGGACAAGCTGTTCTGATCTTCTTGCTCTTGGTTTGGTTCGAAGAAAGAGGGATTATAAATGTTCTGTCTTTATCTCAAGAACTTGTTTTTTTTAGTGATGTCAATTTGTGTTGTGCTTCCCCTGGTTGTATTTTCCCAAGCATGGTTTGATGTCATCCTACGTTCCATTGTTTCCTTGATCTTGTGTTGAAGTCAGGTTTTTATTTTCTCTCTATAACCGATTGTTCAAAGTGCAATAAAGATCTCTTTGTCAAAAAAAAAAAAGTTTTCGCTATACAAAGGGTACGGATCCCATCAGTAACCAACCATCAGGTGAGTAACCCAATGCATAACCCAATAAAAATCTGCCACATCAGCGCCTCCTTCTCTCTCCTCGAAAAACCTTTAATTTTCCTACCCTTAATCTTTAACAAACGATTTATCACTCGTTTTAACTCGAAATTTAATTTTTTTTGCAAAGTTAGATTAGATTAATTGTGCTCTTCAAAATGATATCCACTTTGATATTTTTTGAAACAAAAAAACTTGTCAGTTATTACCAGTCAATACCATATGGTACAGACTGTACCCATATGGTTTTGACTGGTATTAAATAACAGCATACCATATGGTATGAAAAATACCATCCCACACCCGGGTGGTATAGTATAGTATGGAGTTGGTAACGAGAGGTATAAAATTTTTTCACCCAGAAAATTTTAAAATCCAATAGATCATGATTAAATCGTTCCTTCTGTGCAAAAATTTCGGAAAACGACTAAACAACGAAGGAGATACCATATGGTATTGAGTTGGTAACGAGAGGTATTTAAAAAAAATTTCTCAAAAAATATTGAAAATGGATATCATTTTGTAGAGCACAACGAACTTATTCCATCTATGCAAAAAAAAATTGAAATCCGAGTTAGAATGAAGAAGATATGATCCAATCAAGAAAACTAGGGAAAATATATTACTTTAATTCTCCACACTTAGATCTGCAGACACTTAAAAGAAGGGTCCAGATTTGGTTACTCATAGTTACTTACTCTAAAGTTACTTACCCTATCTTGAAAACTAGGGAAGATATGATCCGAGTTAGAATGAAGAAGATATGATCCAATCAAGAAAACTAGGGAAAATAAATTACTTTAATTCTCCACACTTAGATCTACAGTCACTTAAAAGAAGGGTCCAGATTTGGTTACTCATAGTTACTCACTCTAAAGTTACTTACACTATCTTGAGCCATATTTTGCCTAATAATAATAAAAATAATAATAATAGTTTTTTAGCCGACTAGCTGGCTCGATTATTTTAGCTGATCGTTGTGGAGCGGAGTGAAAAGTTAAAAACATGTGTAAGAGTGAGAGAAGATTTATTTTCGGATAATGTATATTGAAAATGTGAATATAGTATTATTATTATTATTATTTTAATCTAGAAATTATTAAATATTATCATATTTTAGATAACATCATTTGATTTATTAAATTAAATTTATATATCTAGACCAATAGGTAAAAAAAAAAATTCATAATCCATTCAAATGAATTTTTACCAATCTAATGCACAAAATTACCTAAATTTTCTTTTGTGTTTAGATTTCAGTTTTGGAAGAAAAATAAATGTACTCATATCCCTATGAATGACAAACAGATGGCGGGGGTATCTCCAGGGGCGGAGCCAGGATTTAATCATCGGGGGGCCGGAATTTTCTTAATACGTTACAGCAAAAGAGGAAAAACTAGTAATAAAAATTATTTTAAAAACGTATTATTATAATTAAAACTCAAAACTTTTTCACATTGAGTTCACTACAAATCATAAAAAAAATATAACGACAATAGTCGAATTAGCTAATAACTAGCTTCCAAAAAAGAAAGGAGAGGGCTACTGCTTACCAAAAAGGCAAAAAAATAAAATATATGCTCACCTCAAGAATTGAAACCGTGACAATTTGGTCCTTCTAAATTGCCAATTCCACTAGGCTAACTCAAATTTCATGTTATAATCTGCACGCTTTGTCTTTTTATTAAATACTTTCTTGTTTATACGTATTATCCTAAACCGTTTACACGTAAGTTCGAGATTCTCGGGGGGGCCGGGGCCCCCCTTAGGGCCAATGTAGCTCCGCCCCTGGGTATCTCAATACCCATACTCGTCCCACATCAAATGTGGTTCAGGTCGAGTAATAATCGCAATATGGCATAGGTAAGGGCCGAGGCGGGTCGACCGATTCTCACATGTGATTTGAAAAAAATTAAATGCAAAATCTAATTCTTTACAATGGAAAACACTACATGAATGAAAATAGTGATAATAGAATGAGCAATTGAGTCTAAATAATTGAAATATAAAATTTTGTACCTATTTAAGTTTTTTAAGTGTGAATATGATTTAAAAATACATATTATGATAAAATATAAATTTGAAGGATATTGAGATAGAATGGGGCAAGAATGGTGAGGCACGAGGCAGGCTGGGTTGGGTTGGAATTAATGACACACGCTACTGTGGGCCGGGCATTACCAGCCCCTAGCGCGAGTGAGGTCGTATAATACTCGACAACGTAAATTCAAATTGTCAACACTACATATCCCCTCTCAGCGCAACCCCAACTTTTTCCAAATGGCACCGAAGTATCCCCTACCCTTGATATTACGTTTTCTAATCTATCTATAAATAAATAAAAACATATAAGCGTTTAAATTTCCCCTACCCTTCAGAGGTTTAAATTTCCCGTCCACCCATGTTGCCACGTAATTCTCGGTTTTTTCCACTTTATCGTCAAGAATTTTCTGATTTCTATAGAAAAATTCTTTTCTTCCCTTTTTCATTAATTTTTTTCGCACACGGTTCCTTATCATTATTTTTCGTTCCCTGATATAATGAAAATCTTTAAATAAAAAAAATTCCTTCTTTTTTTTTTATAACAATTCCTTCTTTTATTCGTTGTTTCTGTTTGAGGGTTTTGCCCAAAATCGATTTCTTCTCCTAAATAAACGCGATCGAAGAAAAAAAATTCTCAATTACATTGAACCTAA